CCGGAAACGGCTTGGGATAAAAAGGCGCGGGAGATCTCTCGAATTTCCCAGAATTTCCGGGAATTTCCCAGAATCTCTCAGACATTCTCGGACATTTAACCACTCTCTTTAAACGCGTTAACGCGTACCTCTCGCCTAGTTCTCGCTCGCCGTCTCCGCGTTTCGTAATGGCGTCCCGGCGCCCTCCGCCATCTTGGTATCCTAATCAAAGTACCAGTTCGCGGTAAAATAGTCTCCCTTTGTCTCTAGGCCGGACTCGTCGCAGCTGGTCGTTTCACGGTCGAATTTTATGCTCGCTCCTATCGCACGTAACCCGGAGACGTAATTTCGAAGGCCTTGGATAACCGAGGGAAGGGAAAAGGAAAGAAAAAAAAAAAAAAGAAACAAAGAAATGGATAATCTACGACGACGTAACCCGTTAACGTCGCCGATAAGGCGTGGCGAGGATTTCATTTTTTTTTTTTTCTCTCTCTCTCCGGGTTTTCAGTAATTTTCTTGTGGGCTAGGGGATGGGGAGGAAAATCCGGAAGGGCGACGACCAATGGGATAAAAAAATCGAATACAAGTGCCTCGTTGATCGCGCGATTAACGCGACGTCGGCCGCGGGCTAACCGCGCGTAATTCGAAATCGGCCAGCCGTGAGACTCGATTAATTCCCTCCTTTGGTCCCCCCCGGCTTTTCCCTCTCCTCCCTTTTCATCCGCGAAAACGTCGGATCGTCGCACAGATTTGGAAATCGGCGAAAGAAACTCATACGGAATGTCCTGCGCGGGATAACCTCCTAGTTCCTGCGCCGCGGCGGAATTACCTGAAGCCAGAGAGAGAGAGAGAGAGAGAGAAAGAGGGGAAACGTGGAGGCAAAAGCCGAGTAAAAAGAGAAGCGGCCGCGCAATAAATATGCAATTACCGAGCGAGCGGGTTGCATAACCGTTCTTTCAACAGAGGTGACACGCGTCGCGACAATGAGAAGCAGGCTTAATGTCGCGGTGCGCGATGTTGGAAGTCGGTCCCCGTTGCGCCTTTCGCCGATGTTCAAACCTTCCCTGGGGCATTTATATATATATTTATATATATATTTTTTTGTTATATATACCAATTGGTACCTCCTTTTCGACTCCTCGAGGGATCGTATCGACTCGGCATCTCCTACGAGGAGAACGGATGCTAAGTTATTCCCCTCGACGAGTCAGGGTCGCGAATGCCCGATTCGCGATTTGTTAGTGTAATGCCGATGGTAGACGCGAGCCGTACGATGTGCACGACGGAAACGCAGCCGGGGAGAAGGAAAAGAATAAGGAGAGGGGACGGAGGGAGAGAAAAAAAGAAAGAAATAGTAAGAACAGGAAGGGCCACCGCGTCCTAGATAAGTCTAAGGTCGCGTTCCAGTTACGGTGCCGACTTCGCGGCGAGCGATTGTCTTCCACGTGGTTCATGGCCGCCACGGTTTTTTTTTTTTTTTTTTGCGGAAAATTCAAATGCCCCCCTCGCGCTAGGCGGCGGATCGGACCTCGTGAGGCTTGTCAATGATTGCCCGTCGGTGTTCTTATCGGATGTACCTTGTCCGAAGGAAGAGATGATCCAGAGGACGCGGCTCTTGAAAGGCGACGTTCCGTAAAATCGACAACGATACTCCCTTATTTGGAAATCCTGAAGTTCCATTCTATCGCGCCCGTTTTTCTTTTAATAATTTTGGTAATCGACGATAGTCAATTACAACCGATTTATTGATTTTTAATTTTTTTTTCCTCTCCGTGGTTCGGAATTATTTTTTTCCTCTCCATGGTTCGGAATTATTTTTTTCCTCTCCATGGTTCGGAATTATTTTTTTCCTACCTCCGTCCGGCGGATAGAAGAGAGGTTAGGATCGCCCCGGAAGGCCGTTTCCGCAGGTTTCGGGACTCCCGTCCAGGCCGTTAGCCGTTTAACGGAACCGGTGCGTTACACCTTGGCCGAGTATCGGACTTTCCTCGGTCGACCCCCACGCGCCGTCGCGAACAATGCCCCTCGGGCGCGCGGAACTTTTGAGGTTATGTCCTTTGTACGCCGGATGACGAACTTTCCGCCGGATAAACGCCGTCGTCGGCCCTGGTGGGTATTTTCCCTCTCTTCCTCCGCGGGTTTTCCTCCGTCTTCTCTACTCCTCCGGGGATACTCCTCTACCGACATCGAGGATTCTCGCTCGAGGGACGCCCTGATCCGCCATCTTGAATTTTCGTAGAGCGATTTTCTTTCTTTCTTTTTTATTTTTTTCGAAATTCCCGACCGTCCCACGGGAAACGGCGGTTCCGGAAGGGTCGTATAATTCCGCAAATTACCCGGGCGAGATATCAGGCCCCGGAGGCGCGGTATTAGCGAGTCCGCGGGACGTTCCGAAATTAGATCGTAAAACCGTGCCCGGGTGACATCCATATTACGGGGCAGGGTCCCGGGGCGTAAACCCGCGATATAAACCGGGAGCCAATCTCTGCCGGGTCCCGGGGGACGTCTCGGTCCCCCCGCCGGGAACGGGGGACGCGTCCTTTTTCCTTTTGCCCCACCTGGAAATGGCTTTACCCCTCCTTGGCTCTTGGCCGTGATCGGCCAGGGGCCAAGAGGTGAGGCCCCGGGATCGCGCGGATGCCTCGCGTAATGGAGTTGTATCAATAATGGAGGTGTAATAACTCGGCGACCGGGCCCCCGAGGGCGTCCGCCACGCCCTGTATTAAGCGTTTCCATCGCAATTACCCCGGGTCCATCCGAGACCTCCTCCGAGCGCCGGAATCCCTCTCCGACCTACCTCGACGACGAGTATGCGCGAATTTATTCTCGACGACGAGGAATATTTATAATTTCGTTCGGCAAGAAATATTTCTAACCTCTCTCGAGGACGACGAGTACCGAGTCTTGCTCAATGTACACCACGAGACATGAATGCCTTCTCTGGAAGTGTCTCCCCGCCACGTTTTGCGTGCCCCGAGAGGGAATTCATGTCCGCCCCTGTACGCGTACCGGAAATCAGGAAGGAAAAAAAAAAAGAACTGGTGACCGACGCTAACGCCGCGACGCCTCGTGACGAGTGGCCGCACAGGGAGATGGCCGATGTCCTCGACGTTTCGCATGGCGAATTCGCCGATCGGATGCATCCGATTGACCCGGGCCTCGGGAGGTCGTCTCGCGTGGACGTCTCCCTCTGGGCGAGGCCGCCTGGACGGATGCCTCCCGGAGAGGGGATTCCTACATGGCACCCGTAGGTACCTACGTACCAATATGTACGATTTATATACCTATATACGCGTATATACCGTACATCGCGTATCGGGTACCGGGGCGTTGCGTAATCCTCGCATTATTCCGAGGGCCGAGAGGCGGCACCTGCTCTTCGGCCCAGTTCGAGGGCTCCTCGAAGTCGAACACTCGGGCATTCTTCGAGGTAGGGGTTTAAAGACGAGGGGGAAAGTTGGAAAGATGGGGGAGAAGTTAAAAGAGCGAGGTTAAGATCGACCGTGCTCGTCGTACCTCGAAGTCCCGAGAGCGGTATCTGTTTTTCTTTTTTTTTTTTTTATTGCTTCAATTGAAGGGATGAAATGGAAAGTCGAGAGGAATAAAAAGGGTTAACCCTTTGAATACGGAGCCATTTCGACGTATGGGCGAAATTCGTCTGACCGTGCAGGCAATATTGGACCAAACGTCGGGCGCCTTTAGGCGCTCTTAGTAGCCAAAGGGTTAAGATCGATTACCCTCGATGACTCGAAGTCGGGGGGGATGTTCAATTTTCTGACTATTTCGAGGTCACGTTCTTTAAGGTCTTTACCAGGAGATGTGCGAAGGGATGCGAGGAAGATACCTAGAGATCCTTCCCTCGTGTAGGAGGCGGAAGGGCCGGCCAGGGCGAGAGCAGAGGGAAGAGATCGCTAACCCTCGGACGCGGGGGACGAGGGGGCAATATTGACGCGACCTCGGGCCTCTCTCTCCCTCCCTCGCACCCTCGGCGGTGGCACCGTCACCCCTTTTACCGCGCCGGGAGAGCTACCCCGTGAAATTGCGCCGCGTCGGGGGCGGGGGCGACCGACCCCGGGAAACGAGGGCCGCCTCCTTCGAGATTTACCTTAGACCCGGATTCACGCCTTCTCTCCGCTCGAGAAACGTCTTGGAGACTTCTGATCCGCATATACTCCGCCCCCGCCCTTTGCCACCCCTCGGTACTCTTTTATCTCTCACCTTTGTCTACCTTGCCCCGTGGACTCCGAGATGGGTGAATCGCGTCCGACTGAACAATTCGCTTAGTCTAGTCTATCAGTACCTATTGTCTCGGAATATTTTTGCGCAACTACCCTTTAACCCTTTCGGTACGGGTGCCGGATATATCCGGCGGCCATCTGATATGACCTGTGTGGAGGAGCGCCGGATATATCCGGCGTCCATGTGATAGCCTGTATGCATGCGCACGTGTAAATTTTCGGAGCGGCGCCTCGTACAGCGGAAGTGTCTCGGCGGACAGAGCGCTCGTACCGAAAGGGTTAACTTCCATCCCTAGGCTCTGAAACAGGTAAATCCCGAGCGAATAAACAAATTGCTCCGTAATCCTCATTTTAGGGTATCCTTGCCGATCCACCCCTTAACCTCTCCTGGTAGACTCCGAAAGGGATGATCGCTCGGTACTCCTGGCCAGATCCTCGGTAATCGAGGGATGCGTATTCCGGGCAAGTTGGGTACACCCAAGAGGAGGAGGAGGAAGCGAGTCGAAGGCAGATGGAATATCGTATCGCATCTGCAGGAGACGGGAAATTATTCGGCAGCGGACCGGAGCCCCCGGGGGCCCGAATAAAGGATGCCAGAATCCCTATTAAGGGGTAATAGGTATTATCGATTTTGGAACGGAGTCGAGGTTACCCTGGTTCAAGTCGTGACAAATATATACCCACGACCCCCTCAACCCCCCGTAGGTCGTTAGTCTTATCACCGTGACCATTTTTAAGGGAAAGGAGGAAATTAACGCCGTCTCGTTTGTCCCGTTCCAGCAGCAGAAATTCCTGAAGAGGACTGCGGAGGAGTTGGAGCCGGCAGGAGGTGGAAGCGGGGAGGCGGGCTTCGGGGAGCCTCCGGTGAAGCTGCAGTGTACGCAGGCGCAGCACCAGCACCAGCAGGCCCCAGGAGGCGGGGGTCCCCCGCACCATGGGCCCCATGGGCCCCATGGGCCGCATGGGCCGCACGCGGCCGGGAACGGCTCCGGATCCGCGGGGCCGCCCGGCGGCGGCGGAGGAGGCGGAGGCGGTGGGAGCGGCGGCCAGGGTGGCGGCGGCAGCTCCAACGAGGGTCTCACCAAGTTCTCCGTGGAGATAGTCCAGCAGCTCGAGTTCACGACCTCGGCCGCCAACTCTCAGGCCCAGCAGATCTCGACGAACGTGACGGTCAAGGCGCTAACGAACGCCTCGGTGAAGAGCGACCTGGTGAACTCGTCCTCGTCGCCGAAGTCGGGCCCCGAGACGCCGTCGGGGTCCTCCAGGGCTCAGAGCGGGCCTAGCGGTGGCGGGTCAGGTGGAGGAGGTGGAGGCGGAGGGTCGGGTGGCGGGGGAGGACCTCCTCCACCGGGCCCAGGGCCTCCTGGGGGTGGCATCGGGTGCGTCGACATTGGGAATCTGGTCGAGTGCAAGCAGGAGCCCGACAACGAGTTCGTCGACCTGGAACAGTGCGCCGCCGCCCTGGAGAAGGACGCCGCCGCCAACGGGGCCGGATTCCCCGGGTTCTCCGACTTCATCGGGGACGACACCGGCGACGAGATCATCACCTCGGACGCGTTCAAGGATCTCATCTCCGAGATCTCGGACTTCCACCCGGAGTTCATGAAGGACTTCGACTTCGAGGACAAGAGCGTGGACCACCTCTCCGGGTCCGGGAACTCCGGGCCCAATAACGTAACCAACAATGGCCACATCAAGATGGAGGACGACAAGGAGGCCCTGCATCAGCAGCAGCCCCAGCACCAGGGTAACAATGGCAACGCCGGCCCTACCAACTCCAGCCCTGGAGGCACCCTGGCCGCGTCGCAGTACTCCCCGGCCAGGTTGCCGTACTCGGGCCTGGACTTCAAGTCCGAGATGAGTCCCGCGGCTCAGACCCTGAAGCAAATGGCCGAGCAGCACCAACACAAGAGCCAGCAGTTGGGACTTGGGTTCAACCCTGGGGCCAGTGCACCCAGGGGGCCCGCCGCGAGGTCTCCATACGCCGAGTTCCCTCAGTTCGCCGGGGCCTCGGATTACCTCGGCAGTCCCGGGGGTACCGTGCCACCCGGGGCCCAGGGACAGACCCCCACCGCCCAGGGACCCTATCACAAGTCTGGAGGGAATCCTGGCTTCCAGGGCCAGCAGGGCGACATGTTCGTCGCCGGCCAAGCCCAATTTGCTGGACTCGCCGACATGAAGAGGCCCCAGCCTGGTGCCGCTGGGAAACCTGGCATGCTGGGCCCCACCGGAGGGTACAAGCAACAGTATTCGCCCTACGGGAGCCCCGGGTCCATGCCCAACCATGGAAGCCCAGGGTATCCCCTGCCTCCTAGGGGCTCCCAGAACGCCGGGCCCAACCAGCCTGGGTCGCAGGGACCCTTCACCAGCTCCACACCTCCCAGGCCCCCCTCCGGACCTGGGACCTCCACGCTGCAGATCAACCAGGCCCAGCAGCTGCACATCACCAACCCCAATCACCAGATTCAGGTCAGTCCTCTGCTTAATTTATTCATGAGCGAAATTGGTCTTAACTTTAGTCTTGGACTTGTAGTTGGGAGTTTAAGATCTTGATATCGAAGTCTTAACAATGACGTCTTGATAATGAAGTCTCGATAATAACGCTTAATAATGACGCCTTGATAATAAAGTCGTGATCATGAAGTCCTAATGATCACGTTTTAATATTGAATTCTTGACAATAAAATCTTGGTATTGATAACACGATATCAAAGTCTTGGGTTTACATACTTGACCCTACAATCTTGATCTGAGAGACTTTGATCTTGATCTTGCAAATCGTAATCGGGTTTAAATCATCTTACACTTATCGCAAGACCAAGATCGTGACCGATTTTGCCCATCGCCAGGAAAATCGAGATCGACCCAATTAAATCGGCTCTCCCCGTTCTCACGCGGAGCGATATCTGTTGCGTCGCGACGCCGCGTCTATTTTTATCGGGCGTCGGCGTCCCTCTCCCGCGGGCCGCCGCCGCCGCGACGCGACGCGACGCGCAACAAGTAGTTTGCCCCCACCGCCCGCGAGCGTCCCCGCCGCCGCCGCCGCCCCCGCGCCGAGGCGGCGGCGCGGCGTCGCGACGCCGCCGTCTGCTCGATTTAACCGCACGCCCGGCCCGAGTCGATACGGCCCACCCCTTCGTTCTTCGCCCTTCGTTTCTCATCCAACGGCGATCGACGAGATCGATCCTCCGATCCAGGCAGAAAATTCCTGGAATGTTGCGCCTGACGTTAAAATCCTGGATTGTTGCGCCTGGCGTGTTAAATCCCTGGATATTTGCGCCTGGCGTTAAATTCCTGGATTTTTGCGCCTGATGTAAAATTCCTGGATTTTTGAGCTTGATGTGTTAAATTCCTAGATATTTGCGCCTGGTGTTAAATTCCTGGATTGTTGCGCCTGACGTTAAAATCCTGGATTGTTGCGCCTGGTGTTAAAATCCTGGATTTTTGCGCCTGACGTGTTAAATTCCTGGATAGTTGCGCCTGACGCGTTAAATTCCTGGATATTTGCGCCTGGCATTAAATTCCTGGATTTTTGCGCCTGGCATTAAATTCCTGGATTTTTGCGCCTGGCGTTAAATTCTTGGAAACGCAAATCTCGACGTTAAATTCCTGGATACGTATATCTTGACGCGATCGAGATCGTTGACCCTCCGACGGAAATTCGGACGCACCTGACCGGAAATTCGCCGGCGGATAAGTCTATCTCGCCCGACGGGGGCCGGAAGTCGGAAAGTCGGGCCCGCAATCTCTCGCGACCCAGTTGGCCACGTTGCCAAGTCTCCGGCATCGGGCCCCTCTGACCCGCGGCGACGCTCGCGTCGTCTCGGATGCAAATGCCCCGATTACGCTCGGCGACGAGCGGACGACTCGCTTTGTGTTTACGATTTTATGTAGATTCCCTCGGCCCCCCTCGCCTCGACCGGAAGTCGGAGGGGGAGAATTCGGTTCAAGGGTCGGTTTTCGATCCACGTTTCGGGCTCGCCTGGGCCCAAACTGTTATCGCGTTATCACGTTATCGCGCGTCATCGCGGCAAATTCAGAACTCTGACCGATTCCCTTCCTTCCCCATTGGATCGGCATGTCCAGTGGCACTGGAAATTAAATGAGAAAACAGAAAAGGAAAGAGAGACACGGCGCGTATTAATTCAGGAATTAATTTCTACGAGGCGAAGGGCCCGATAAGACGTTATCTCCTGGAGTCGCGACCCCGGGTGTCACCTATGCTAAATAGTGGCGTCTTAATTGACGAAAAATTCAAATCGACCCCCGGGAAAATACGACATTCGAATGATAATCGGGCCCAGATCGGGACGGATACCTGGTCGGTCTTCCTGCGAGGTATCGAGGGTTATCGATCTCTCGCCCCGGGTGCACCGCCGTCCTTCGAATTTACATCTGTCGCGCGTCTCGGAGAAAAGGAAAAAGGGGGAGCAAGAAGAAAAAAAAAGGAGGGGAATATCTCGCTCCTCGATTTTATTCTAATTCCGCTTTTAACTCTCGACCTATCTCACGGGCGACGTCCTAGGGAACCATTTGTCAATCCCTCGAGCGTTTCCCTGAAAAGACCCATATCTCCTTTGAAAAATTTATCTGGATCGGTATCGCCTTTGAAAAAAAAAAAAATAACAGGATCGGTATCTCCTTTGGAATGAATACGGTCAAAGTAGCCGAGTAATATCGATCTTTGTAGAACGTCGATAAAGCGAGGCCGGTAAAGTAGATTCCTCTCTGAGCCATGGCTGAGGGAAATCCGGAATTCGCGCGGCTGCTCTCGGGTATTATCGCCCATCTCAATTAGTTCATACTCCGCGGTCGCCACGCACTCGAAAACTGATTCGATAATGAAACGGCACTCGGGAGAGAGGATAGGTCGCCCTCGTGGCTCGAACTTTACCGTGGGTTATGTCAAAAGGTCCCGTCACTTCGAAAAGCTCGACGAACGTCCATTTCAAAATGGCCGCCCCCACGCTCCTCGAGATCAGCGGTCGATTTAAGATCCTAGATCGATTTTCGCTTTTATTCATTTACATCGTCGATATTGGTACTAAGACCGTATTACGTGATTTTTTACTTCGAGAATATTTTCCCATTTTTTTTTTTTTTTCGTTCTAAATTGAGACATTCGGAATAGACAAGCGTGACGTTGATCAAGCAGATCGAGGAAGGTCCGAGCCGGTCTAGATACTTTTCCTTGGCGATAATCCTAATCCAATTTGCCTTCCCTCGGCCGGGATCTTAATCCAATTTGGTTATCACTAATCTCGGTCCGATTATCGCCGAGCAGGTGCGGTCTATTCGCGACATTAAGACCGGCATTCGGACGATCCGCTGCGGCCGACATGGCGGCCATCGCGCGTCGCCCCTCCGCGACGTTTATTTCTTGCCTTCGATCTTAATCCAATTTAGACTTCTGTAACCTTGATCTAATTATCGGCACACGAGATCGTTAGCGGGGCGCTCTCTCTCTCTTGCTCGCGCGCGTCTATTTTCGATCGGCGCGCGTGCCGCCGGGTTGGCCCGACTTTCCGAATCGAGCGTCGTTTTCTGCGTTAACGGCCGGTCCTACGGAAAAGTCCCTCCCACGAAAGTTGCGGGGCTTCGAGCTCGCTCGAACTTTTCTCTCTGACATTTTCCCGTATCTACGAGCATAGCAGCGAAAACCGCGGGCGACCATCCCGAACAGTCCTCCGCGGGACGGCTCGCCTTAACCCGGGATTTTCTCCGGGCGGGAGTCGCGCAGCGGAAAAACGTCCCCCGAGAAAGTTGTCCGGCGCAACGTGGCGGGCAACTTTTGTCCGAGACATTTTTCCGCATCTAGGATCGTTTGGCCGCTGGGGGCCGGGAAGTGGCGCGACGCGAGAGGATGGGTAAACGGCCACCGATTGGCCGCCGTTGGTCGGCATCGATCACCGTTGATCCGGATCGGTGGTCGATGCGTGAACGCGGCCGTAAGTCGTCGGTCTCTGCGCCGTCCACAATGTGTAAGGCGCATTCCACAATGCTCCTGCATACCACGCTGAAATCGATACCCATGTATACCTTCTATGTTTGTAACCTACATCGTGCCGGGCTCTCTCGTACAGTCGCGGGCAAAATGGCGCGCGTTTCGTGGGAAATCTCGGGCGAGGCGAAGTCGCTCGATAACCTAACCTCACACTCTCTTTCTCTCTCTCCGGTATGAGTTTTCCGGCTCGTTGGAATTCACGAGTGTCATGATATCCCGGGAAAGCGACGCGACGCGTCGCGTCGGCTCTCGGCGTTCGACTTGTTAATTCGAACTCGGCCGTGACACCGCGAGGTGGCGCGTCGGTGCGCGACCGGCGCGCATGCGCGATTGTCTCGCCGGTATTTCTGTAACGAGGAGGCGACCCTCCCCACCCACCCACCCGCCCGCGTAGCCGGCAACGCCGCAATTTCCTTTCCGCCGCCGCGCGACGCCGTAACCTAGCAACCGGGGAAATCCACTCGCCGCTACAGGGGAAATCGGCCAATCGGTGTCCGCGCTACAGGGGAATCGACCAATCACTGTCTAGCGCTCCCACGTGGTCTTGATCTTGATCTTACAATTTTTTGTACGAGCAAGACCGACTTTGGGTATCGCCGATTAGGAGTTATTCGACGTGGTATGGGATCAGAGGTTAGGGATCTCAGGTTTCTGCTCGTTTCCTTCGAGGACGTGGAAGGGGACTTTTTCGGGGGCGGTCAATTTGGGGCTCGGTTCGATTAATCGTTCGGGCCTTATCGGGCATCTCGTTTTTCGGGCCACCGGGACTGCCAAGAGGGGAAACTCGAGGCGGTCTCGTCGGACAAAGGCGATTATTTCTGCAGCCGGAGAAGGTCGAAGGTGGTGGGACGCTTATGGTTCCACGCATCGTGACGAAGCACCGAGTTTCTCCTTATCGGCGACACGTGGGCAGCGCGATAACGTAGACTCGCGCCGTGCGCGATTTTCCGACGCTCCTCGAGGCCTGGAGGAAAAAGTGGCAGGAAGAAAAAGAAAATTCGAAATGGGCAATTTTTTATACCCAGCTAAAACGCGGTTCTAAGCCTTTTTATGATAATCTGATGATACGGATTCACGTGGGAATTGCCAGGAAAAGTCTTACGAGAGCAAGTCGATTAAATTTCTCGCGGCCTTTCACGTCACCTTAAATCCCGCAACGTCGGAGAGAAAGAGAGAGATTGAGAGAGAGACTCGGCCCCTAACGACGACTCCTTCGAGGAACTATCTCGCTGCTTCTGGAACTCATAAACGTATAATCCAGGCCAGATAAACAGCACTCAAAAATAGGAGCGGGCCTCGAGTCAGGCATTCGAGTTTTGTCCGGCCTGGATCCCGAAATCGACCTCTCGAGATCGAAATATCGATCCGCGTCGATTACCGATATTCCAATGTTCCAATTAATCCCTCGATTTCTCACCTATCCGGTTGAAAGGAAAATCGATCCCCATTTCGACGTTGATACGTA